CTGTGACGGACAAAACTAACTACTATCGAGTCACACTGCATCTTTGGAAACAACATTATCTGCCTTGAATTTAATTACGGACTGGACTTGACAATTCTTGAACTGTGTGCATTTTGTTTATGAATAAAGTCTTGGCAAGCAGCTACTGGGTTGCTGCCAATCCTCTTATCGAAAGAATTGGTTGTCTGCCAGTTTATTTAACCCCCGGCTATCTGTTTGTGTGCGTGTGTGAGACGGGGACAGAACAACCTGGAGAAGAACCTCAGCAACTCGAAGGATGAGCAAATAGATCTATTATTGGGCGACCGAATCTCTCGCACAGCTCTTTGAAGAAATCCGGATCCAGGTGCCACTCTGAGTGGTCTAGGCTCTTCCTGCTCAGCCAATCCCCCTGCACATTCACAATCCCTGAAATATGCTTTGCTCTGATGGATAGAACATGTCTCTCTGTCCAGAGCTCCAGTTTCTCTGCCTCTGTCATGAGGGATTTGGAGCGAGTGCCCCATTCCCGATTTATGTGAGCCTTGGTGGCCACATTGTCTGTCAGTATGAGGACATGCTGACCTGTCACTGCCTCTTGGAAATGACGTAGGGCAAGGTGGACTGCCCTTACCTCCAGCCAATTGATATTGTTCTGGAGATCGGTCAGAGACCACCTTCCCTGGACCACCTGGGAATGGAGGTGGGCACCCCAACCAAAGAGGCTTGCATCTGATGTGATTGTGATGCGTTGGGCCTCCTTGAAGGCGCTGTCGTATGGCTGGAGAAGTCCACCAGTGGAGAGACCTTCAGTGGAAGTCTCACTTGGTCTTTGAGTCACTTTTTCCGGCTCTCTGATGTGGTAACAGAAACCATTGTAGTGCCCTGGCGTGCAGCCACACCCAAGGAACTATCGCCAAACACGAAATCATCTTCCCCAGGAGCTGCGAGAGGAGATTCAAAGGCACTGACTTCAGAGCAACAATCTTGTCTATTAAGGACCGTGGACTTTCCTGGCGGTCCGGTGAAAGGAATACTTGGCAAGATGTGGAGTCTATCAATGCGCCTAGGTGAAGAAGGCGGGTGGAGGGAACCAGATGGCTCTTTTTGAAGTTGACCATGAAGCCATGGTCCTGAAGAGTATGTATTACAGTCTGGAGATCCTGTTCTGCTCACAAGGCTGAGCTCAACTAGATTAAGATGTTGTCCAGATAGCACTGCAATTTTATAGGGATTGCCCTGATGTTTGCTGCCACCACTGCCAACTCCTTTGTGAAGGTTCTGGGAGCCGACAACAAACTGAATGGCAGAGTCTGGTACTAGAAGTGGTGCCCTGCATACGAAAACCTCAGGAACATGCGATGGCAAGGTCGTATGGGCACATGAAGATAGGCGTCCTTGAGGTCTATTGATGTTAACATGTCGCCTTCCCTGATGCAGCCCAAGATGGATTGTAGGGACTGCATCTTGAAGTGTCAGTAGATCACGTGGGCGTTGAGCTTTTTTAAATCCAGAATTCCCCTCCAGCCCCCCGAACTTTTCGTCACCAAGAAGAGGACTGAGTAAAACCCTTGTCCCTCCTGACCTTCTGGAACCGGATTGATGGCATTGATTTCGAACAGATGTTGGATCACAGCTTCCATCAGGTTTTTTTTCTCGATGTTTACTGGGACTGGACAACAAAAAAATTGGTTTGGAGGGTTGAAGAGGAATTCCAGTGCGAGACCCAGTCGCACTGTCTGCAGGACCCATGCATTGGTGTGGTCCTTTCCTATTGGATCGCAAATTATTGTAGTCGACCGCCAATGGGAGATGTGGTGTTGTAGTGATTTGCACTGACTACAACACCACATCTGAGGGGGCAAATCAGGTTGCAATGCTGTAGGAAATACATCTTCTGCAAAAGAAACCTTGGACTCTGTGGGATTCTGAGCCTGCTGCTGTTGGGCTTTGGAAAATTGCTTTTCTAGAGCCTTGTGACGCCTCTTGGCATCTTTTTCCAAGGCAGCAGTATCTTTCTTAGATGCCTTTTGGAACTTTCCTTTTGAGATTTATTTTATTTTATTTTATTTATTTTTATATGCCGCCCTTCTCCGGAGACTCAGGGCAGCTTATAATGCGTTAGAGATGCCCCTCTACTGGAAGCCCTGGTATGCCTAGGGCTGCAATCACCAGCTCTATAGAGTCTGGGAGGATCTGACTGGCCCTTGTTTGGGGACAAAGCTCACTCCGCCATCTTGTTACTGCCCACGCTATACAGACCAGGCGGAAGTCACCCCTGCACCAGATCTGGTCTTCCTGCAGGTCCAAAGGAGGTGGTGGATCCAGTTGGTAGACCAGGGAAGTCCAGTATCCCTACAGAACACTGGCCTCGAAGCGCGCTCTCCCTGCAATGCCGCTGTGCCGAATAGCTAGCCACGCCTCTCAGCTGGAATCAAATAGTGCGAGAGTGGAAATTTTTTACTCTCCCAGCGCCTCATGGCGAAAAAACACAAGCCCAAAGGCTGGCCGCTTTCTGGAGTGAGTGTGCAGGTGCCAAAGCTCCCCCGCGCCCACAGCTGATTGGTGATTGATGCGAGAGCGAATTCTTCCTCTCCGAGCTCCATGCAGGTCAATTTGAAATTGCAAGCCCCCCCAGCAAGGAAACCAAGCATGGAGGCCAGCAATACTACCGCTCCAAGCGCTCCTCCACACGTCTGATTTTAAATGGGGCTAGAGCATAATCACCTGCTCTCCCAGCAATGTGCGGATCGGGCAAGTTGTCAAACACGGAGTATGTCCCTCAACACAGTCAGTGACTCCGGAATCCCCAATTGAGAAGAATAAAAACAGTGGTGGTTATGCCAGCTGACTGGACCAACCAATGCACTCACCAGCGGCTGTTGGGCGGAGAAATGGGTGCTTGCACTCACAGAGGATTCCCACACGTGGGTTGGCCCTGGATAAGCTGCCTCCTATTTGTCCTCTTCTGGGTGGTGGCAGTCATTCCAGACTTGCCGGGTATACCAGCACACGCACCCGCAGCATGCAGGCTCCCACAGCGAGCTAAAAGCCCCGAGGCGGCCAAAAGCCTCTTGTTTCTCCTTCTCCACCCTAATTGGCTTAAATACTGAAGAATCTAAGCAACATCCTATTGCCCTTAGATTTGAACTGCTGGAGCAAATTTTTCCACATCTTTCTCGGCTGGACTGAGTTGAAAAACTGGAGCTAAGCCAGGCAAAGGGAGGCATGGCCAAGAAAATTCTAGCAACTCAGTCTCTGGCGATAGGATTGAAGTTAACCCTTGCTTGGATTCTCCACGCAGCGCACTAGAGAATATGTATTTCCTATACCAGCAGCCAACCCTCAAATTTAGACAGGCTGCAAGATTAAGGCATAATATTTTCCCCTATATAAATAGGGTAATTATATTTTTTCAATTGAAGCACCTTTTAAATACATTTCAGCATTAATTTAACACATTTCTATTTGGGTAAAAATGTAATCCAATCAGTCTTTAATGAATAAAATCTAGACAATCAAGAACTGAGCATTTTTCCCTCAATTAAAATTATTTTACAATTTTTAAACAGCTTGTGAACACTTTTTAAAATGAATTGCTGATGGTTACCGTATTTTTCAGAGTATAAGATGCTCTGGAGTATAAGACACACATTAGTTTTTGGAGAGGAAAAAAAGAAAAAAAATTCTGCCTCTGCTTACCAGTATCCATTGGTATTCATCTGGCTAGCGTCCTTGCAGCAAACAGCAAACAACCTGGTCAGTTTCAGCACATTATCGCAGCCTGATTCAGCACGAGCAGCTGATTGACCCAGAATACCACCAATCAGCTATTCCAGGCTGCAGGGATCACCATAGCCCATTGCCGCCGATTGCTGCCTCTGCGCGTCGCATTTTCGGCCTCCGCACACCCAGTTTTGGCCTCTGCGCATCGCGTTTTCGGCCTGTTCCAGGTGGCAAAAATACGGCACGTGTAGGCTGAAAATGGCCAGTGGGTGGGCGGGGCTTTGGCAGCATTCACTGTATAAGATGCATAGACATTTCCACCCACTTTGATGGGGAGGGGAGTGTGTCTTATACTACGAAAAATACGGTATATCAATGTAGCCTTCTTGAGGATGCTACAAATATTTATCAGTACCTTCTTCCAAGATATTTTTTAAACTTCATCATCTATCATATAGCCTTAAAATTCTCAGGCAATGCCCCATCAAAGTACTAATTGGGATGGTCCTGCTTAGTTTCTGACATAACCCAAGGTCAGCAAGATGCTGCCATTCACTGAGGCACCCTTACTACTGAACCAGTTTATTGTGATCAACATAGCTGCTATGGAGAAAAAATCCAATTGAAAACAAATTTGCTTCTATTATTTCAAATGAGAAAAGTCTCTAGGCTAGGATTAATAGAGAAGATTAGAACAGAAAAACTCTTTAATGTTTGTTAAACCATTGTTCAGAATGATGAAGCAATAGAAAAAACAAAGATGAAGTTATTACCATTTGATATAGCATGGGTCAATGCTGCTTTTACATTCCTTCATGAGAAAAGAAATATCATATACTTAAAATGTCCATGAAGTTAGTACCTGCATAATTGTAGTTTTACTGTTGAAGCATGAATAGTGTCTTGATCTAAAATATATTTTAAATATCTTCAAAATCAAGTAACTATGTACTCAGTTATTCCCACAGTGAATATGAATGTCTTTTCAATAAATTCATTTATTAGAAGAGCAGATGATAGTAAGGTGAGATTAAGTTTCAAAACTTGAATGAATTATTTAAACATACCAGAAACATAGTTTCCCATTATCTAGTTAACAAAGTAACAATTTTTTTATTGGTTAACTTGAGTTCCTGGGCCAGAAAGATTATTAAAGATAAACATGCTTACATCCTATTAATAAATGCCATATTTACTAGAAAACTATAAAATAATTCCCAATATTCTTAAACATGTTATAGAGAAAAACTACATATACAGATTAGTCACATCATTAAAAACTATAATAATGTTACCTGATTAAGTGTATTATCAGTCTTTAATTCTTTATGATTTGAATACTGAATATATATAGGTTGATTGCGAAGATGAGGTGTCACAGCAGAATAATAATTTACCATAGTAATAGCAGCTTCTTCTGTTGCCAGCTCTAAAAAAGCCTAGAAAATATATATATATACATAACTATACATAAAAGAAATTACTATCACATGCATCAGTCCATCCATTCATCTATTCACCCACCTAGTTTCAGAATTATAGTCTGGTAAAGTATTAAAGCTATTTACCAAAGTTATTTAAAATTTAGATTGGATTTAGAATGTACAATTTATAAAGAACAATATTTGCTTCGTATTTGCATACACATGTACTGAGTCAATATATGCCCTCATCCCTGGCTTGGTCCACCACTATAATAAAGATTTAATTTATTCTCTCCCTTATGATCAGTATTTCTTATATCATTATATCTGTAATCATAAAATCACAGCTGTGATTTTAGTTCAAGAACATTCACATGAAGCAAACTTAAGCTTGAGAGTATTAATGAGATTGCTGACATCATTCAGAACAACAAAACTCTAAGGAACCAAAAAGACTGAAAGGCGCAATCTAAACAGGCACAAACCTCTAAAAATATGATTAAATTAATAATTTCTATATTCTTGATTTTTAAATTTTAAATACATCTTCTAAGTATAATTTCAATGTAGCAAAAAGTTAAAAAGTTCTTATGTTTTGTGTTTCCCACACTCAGCCATTATATTTTTTTATTATTTATCATGGGTGCAACATCCACTTGTAGTGATGTTAAAACATTCCAAGCTTGTAAACTTTTAAACTCAAAACACTGTTTTTAAGTGTACTGATCACAGAATAAATCTGTGATTTCAGAATACTTTCCCTCAAAATAAGCTCATTTCAAATATTCATATTCTGAAATCCTGAAGATATCACCTCATTTATACATTAAACTATAATTTTAGTTATATAATTTGTATAATTATGTAATTTAATTATAAATTAAATATATATATTTTCCACAGCATAACCATCAAAATAACAGTAGCTGCATCTGCGTTATTGCTGGCCCAGACTAGGAGGCAAGAGGAAGAGTAGGAGGAGGAAACGACATTATTTTAACTCATGGCAGATGACAATATCACTGATCAAATGTATGATGCAAGATGGGGATAAATTTAGTATTTTTTCTTTAAACTTCTTAGCTATTGGGAAGTTTATGCTTTCTTTTGTGGGCCTAGAAATGCATTCTGTTTTGTACTTTCTTTTACTGATGGTCATTATGCAAACGGGAAGGTCTCTTCCATGCAATGTTTATTAGAAAGTTTTGCTAAAACTATGTTGCTTTCGTTTATTTGTTGAGTCATGTTGTATGCTATGTGCATACTCTTGCTGATGCTTAGTCTTCAGGAAGCAAGTTAACTTCAAAGAGTAGGTTGTTTTTGCTGCATGTGTTGAGTTTTGCTTGTAGACTGTCAAATGGAAAGGTATATGAGGTTATGCATTAAGAGAGAAGCCAGTAAAAATACTTTTGTTGCACTTGTCATTGTTCACAGATTGAAGTGAATCGTGCTATTTTTTTCTAGATTTCAGCAGCTGTTTGAGTATAGGCAGGCTGTGGAAAATAATAGTGTTTAAGCTGTTGGTTCCATTGTTGCCTATTGGATATTTTTTTTTTTTAATCACACTCATTGCAAACTTTTGTACCTGTTGGATGAAAAGCAAAAGTCAGCCTGTATACCAAATCATCCCATCTAATTTTGGGTTCAAAAATGAAGGAATGGGGCATTTTTTTCAAGTTCCTATTATTTTCTATTTTTATAGAAAATAGTTTGCTCTATCTGAAACGAAGTATTTAGAGTTTTGTTCAGATATAGGCAACTCAGTAGATCTGTCCAGAGCTCAAAACAAGTTTTGTCTTTTTTCTACTTTATGCACACCATTATTTGCTGATTATTTCAAGTTTCACCCAGCTCAAAGTAGTTTTGATGCAATTTGCCAAGTCAATCTAGAATTGATTGCATCTGAACCATATAGCGCTACGTTGCTCCCATTTTAAAACATTCATGGAAAGAGACACAGAATCCCCTATAAAAAACTATATCACTGTGTGAACATGATATCACAAAACATAGGAAATGTGTCCTGTTCCTTGTACTTTCCAGTTAATTGGTGCTATAGCTTACAGCTAAAAACCAACTGTGGACCATTCTTAGTTTCAATATACAGTCAGGCATTTAGCCCGAGATCTATTTTACCAGAACAACATTTTTAAGATCTGCTTCCCCCTCCCTCCATTTTTCACAAAGCAAATACATAAAAATCTTTGCTGTCACATTGTTTTTGATTTTGCACCTAACAACCTAAAATACTTTTCCATGTCTCAGTGGATTAAAAAAAGTTTCCTATAATTGGTATATTATGATAAAATGCATACATCTTAAGGGTAAAACTTACAGTAAGTGTCTTGGGATGGGGGAAAAAAACTTTGTATATTGAAAAAATAAGACAAAAAGAGAAAATACCTGATTTTTTCCTTTCAGCATGAGAATGTTGGTTACCTTACCAAAAGGTAAACCCAAAGCAATAACTTCTGTTTCTGTCACTTCTCCTGGTAATTTCCTGATATGAAGAACACGAGAAGGAGCCCCATCCATTTTATCTTCACCCTTGAATTTCTTGTTGTCGTTACCATTGGCTGTAAAACATTTTTGAATTAATTTCATATCTAAAATTTATTATAAATTCAGAGAAAAATACACTTAGTATACACACAGGTTTTCAAATTAGTATATGAAAAATGAATTTGAAATCTTTCAATTAAATGTTTAAAAAGATAATAAAAACTACATCTAATAAATTACCAAGCAGACCAAAACAGATTAGAAAACTCTAGCATGACAGCATACAGAAAAAGGGAAGACATACTTGCATAGTTTCTATAACTAATTATCTAAAGCAAACATCAGTTTATAATGAGTGAATTATTTTTTGTATTTGGATTATCAAACAATTCTCATTTGTTAAGTCATATTGATGTGTCATGAACATAGTGTATACCTCTCAAAATTATCTACCCATCCCATTAGCAGGAAATGCTGCCTGTAGGATTTCTTTATAATTTACAGCTATGAATGTTTTCTTATAATCAGCATTCACTGCTGCACAGAATATGAAGTTATACTCCATCCCTGTTTGGAGTGTGATTTAGATCATCTCAGCCCAAACTCCACACAACATAATTTCATTTTTAAAAAAATAAAAGCTCCTACTGAGTTTTTGCATGAGTCACTACCATTTATTGGCCTATTCTACTAATTAAATAGAGGAAAGCACTTGGGCTATAAATGTGAAATTTGTGTTCTATTTTAATTTGAAAAATCTGGAACAATTCAGCCATGAAACACTTACAAAATATAAAAATATATAAACTTAGTCAGGAAACACAATTTAAATCCATGAAAATCTTATTTCTTTCTCAACAGAACTAACATATTACACCAGTTGTTTTAGTCAGATACTTAGACTGTGCCAGATGTTTAAGAACTTTGCTCAAGATTAAAAAACATACTTTCAAGAGATTATTTGATTTATGTACTAAGAAAGAGAACATGATCATAATTAGGATGTAATGAATGTCCATGGAATTGTGGATGCAGACTGATGATGGCATAGGTTGGACTTAAAAGGGTTTGCAAATGTACTATGCATACTGCCACTAAACGTATAGGATAAAAAGCTATCAGATGCCAAATGGGATGCTGAAAAATGATACTGGGTCCGGACAGTAATGACCATATTTAGCAATGTTGGGCATAGGAAAGTCGGGGGGGGGGGATTCAGTAGACCACTAAAAAAACAGACCCACAGTGCAGATCCCTTCTAAACCATTGCTCCAGCCTTGTACCTAAATGACCAAATTACTGATGATAGTTTAGTGTTCAATCCAGAGAGCAATTTTTATTTATTTGATTTCAGGATCTCAAGATTTGTCCAACCAAGTTTCAGATCTTGTACAAGTCACAATGCTACAGATAGGAAGGACAGGAGGTTATAAGAATTTGGGAAATAATCAACAATGCTACTTTGGAAATAATTGGATGTGTATGTATGAGAAAATGGATTGTAAAGATAAACATGAGTTAAAGCTGGTGTACAAAATGATCTGCAGAAGATCGTGGACCACATTTTTGAATTGTGAGTTCAATCTTGTGAGATAGTCCAGACAAGAACCATACCCAGATGAATACATTCTACTCTTTTATAAGGTTACATTATCAGAATCTTGCCAAGTCTCAAAATAAATTTCTCCCCCATTGCTGTTACAGTCTCTACTTTCTGTAAGGGCCTAAAGCAGTGGTTCTCAACCTTCCTAATGCCGCGACCCTTTAATACAGTTCCTCATGTTGTGGTGACCGCCAACCAGGGGTGGGTTCTAAATTTTTTTACTACTGGTTCTGTGGGCATGGCTTATTTTGTGGGTGTGGCTTGGAGGTCATGTGACTGGGTGGGCGTGGCTAGCTGGTCATGTGACCGGGTGGCCATGGCTATGTGTATAGGGACTACTCAGAGGGCTGAAAAAAGTCATTTCTGACAGGTCCTCGCACTTTTGACTGGTCCTCACACTTATGACCATCCTCACATTTATGCCCGTGCAGCATTCTTAACAACCATGTCACTCATTTCACAACTGCTTCTTTTCATCATGGTGATAAGATAGGGCAAAAAACGTAAAATGTGAGGACAGTCGAAAATTCGAGAACTGGTCAAAAGTGTGAGGACCAGTCAAAAATAACTTTTTCAGCCCTCTGAGTAGTCCATGTGCACAAAAGGTTCAAACGGGACCGATGTAAGGGCCTGAAGAACTCAAGATAAATCCCATGTGGGGTAGCGATGGACCACTGGAGGTCGGAGGTTTGCAGCTCCCTTAATAGATTGCCTAAGAATAGGTTCATGGGCCAATTATGTCCTCTTGGGCCCATTGGGACCGTGGACAATGATGTCCACAGTCTCACACCGCAAGACCATGGACAGCGCTGCAACCTGCCTGCGGAGTGTGTTGTGGGCAGATCTTTGTCCAATCCGTCCTGCAAAAATTCTAAAACATGTGAAACTGTAGCAGAGGTGGGGTCGAGATCCCTAGCCCCAGACCAGGTGATAAATGCTGCCCATGTGGAATCATAAATACGATTCGTAGAATGTCTGCGAGAGGCCTGGACGGTTACAATGACCCTGGAAGAGAAGCCACGCTTCCTCAGGACTCCCCGCTCAAGTGCCAGACGGTTAAGTTGAGCCACTGGGGCTCCGGATGTTGCAAGGCACCTTGGCTGAGTGATATCCGCTCCTGAAGGATCCTCCAGGGCTGGGAGACTGAGAGGTCGACCAGGTGTGCAAACCACAGGCACCTGGGCCAGCGAGGAGCAATTAGGAGGACTTCCGCCCTTTCCTCAATTACCTTCCTGACAACACCTGGGATCAGCGAAAGAGGTGGAAAGGCATAAAGTAGGCCACTTGGCCAAGGGCTGCGTAAGGCATTGGTCCCCTCCGCCCCTTGTGACGGGAACCTGGTGAAATACCTGGGAAGCTGAGCATTTTCTTGGGAGGCAAACAGGTCTACTACTGGCTGACTGAATCTGATTGTCAGTTCCAAGAAGAGCGTGGGGTGTAACTACCATTCTGCGTTGTCTATTGTGGAGCGGCTGAGGCAATCCGCCTGAATGCTTGCCGCCCCCATGATATGCTCCGCGTTGAAGGAAAGTAAATGCTTTTCCGCCCACCTCCCCAGGAGCTCCGCTTCCGTCATGAGGCTCCTGGAATGAGTGCCTCCTTGACAGTTTATGTGTGCCTTGGCCGTGACGTTGTCCATAAGAATGAGAACGTGTTGGCCCTGTACTAAGGTCTTGAAGTGGCAAAGGGCAAGGTGTGCCGCCCGAAGCTCCAGCCAATTGATGTTGTGGGTCAGGTCCGCTGGGGTCCAGCAGCCCTGAGCCATGTGGCCCTGAAGAGGCTGGCATCTGATGTTATCATGAGACAGCCCTTGTCCAGCACTGGAGACATCCACCACTTGAGGGAGAGCAACACCTCTGGGGGAACACATACTTTGGTCTGAGAGCTGCTGTTGCCTGCCCGTTGGTATGGGAGCAGGAACCAGTGAAGGGTTCTTGTGTGCAGCCGAGGCCAAGGCACTATCGAGATGCATGACACAAACATCCCCAACAGTCGTGCTAATAGGACAATGGGGACCCGATGCTCTGCTCTTATCTGTCTGAGCAGGGATGACAGGTTGTCCTTGCAGTCTTGGGAAAGGAAGACCCATCCCAGCCTGGTGTCGATTTCCATCCCCAAGTGTAAGAGTCTCATGGCCAGAACCAGCTGACTCTTTGGAAAGTTCACGGAGAATCCATGCTGTCGTAAAACGGTGATTGTTGTCTGCAATGCCTCCTGGTTTCCTCGAAGGAGGACACTTGCACAAGAATGTTGTCCAAATAGCATTGTAGACGAATAAGAATTGATCATAGATAAGCCGCTAATGCTGCCAGAACCTTGGTGAAGGTTGCCAACGCTAGTCCAAAGGGCAAGGCGCTGTATTGGTAGTGAGACTGCTTGAAGCAGAAGCGGAGATACTGACGATGTGCCGGGTAGGATTGGCACATGGAGGTAAGCCTCCGTAAGGTTGATTGATGCCAGGAAGTCGCCTTCCCGAATTCCCTCTAGGATGGTGGTTAGGGAATTCATTTTGAACCTTTTGTAGACCAGATACAAATTTAATTTTTTTAGATTTAGAATTGCTCTCCACCCCCCCGAAGACTTTGGGACCATAAACAGGGTGGAGTAAAACCCCCGACCCCTCTGGTTCTCCGGAACTGCCTCGAGTGCCTGAATTTCCAGTAAATGCTGGATGGTGGCTTCCAGGAGAATTTCTTTTTCACTGCTTCAGGATACCAAACAGCTGACAAAGTGATTTGGAGGAAGGGAGAGGAAGTCCAAGCTGAGGCTGAGCCTCACTGTATTGAGGATCCAGAGGTCGTTCGTGATCATCTCCCATTGGGACGCAAAAAGAGCCAATCGGCCGCCAATGCGTGCGCTTGGCATGTAGTCATCATGGTCTACGAAAGGCGCAACTTCCTGCCCCTCGAAAGGGCCGTTTGTTCTGGAGGGCCTGCCTAGGCTGGGTGTGAAACCCTGTCCTATCTGTTTGGCGGTCAGAACGTTGAGGAAAAGGTCATTGAGACTGTTGGAAAGAAGAGCTGGAATCAGGCCAATATGAAGACCTGCGATAATAAGGAGCCGTGTGCCTCTCGCCCTTCTTAAGGGAGGATGGCAGGACCTTCCTCTTGTCCTTATTCTCAAGTAATACAGGCTCCATAGCCTCCCCGAAGAGGGAGCCCACTGTATAAGGGGCCGAGGCCAACCACCATTTGGACTTGGCATCCGCCTGCCAATTGTGGAGCCAGAGCATCCTCCTTGATGTGATGGAGGAGGCCAAAGATTGAGAAGCATACTTGCAGCTAATGTTGCATCTGCAGAAAATTGTGTTGCTGCGATCAATTTATTCAAGTCCTGATGGAGCCTGGTTTTACTGGATGGAACCCTCAGTTGCATCTGCTGGAACCACAGTAACGAAGTGCGATTAAAAGATGAGGCTGCAGATGCGGCCTTAATCACCCAGGCTGAGGACTGGTGCATCTTGCGCAATGT